TGTATAGTTTAAAATATATATAACCGTAAAAAGTATTTGTGGGACACATACACCGTCAGACAGGGTAAACTTGTGTGTAATTCAAAATATTTATCAGCTGTAATGTCTATGCAATTCCAATAAAACCAATTGCTACTTTCATCACAGCAGATAGAGTATCTGATTCAGCTTTACGAATTTCTGTATTCAATACCCATCAAACAGGCTGTTGTTGTTGTTGCTGCTGCTGCTGTTGTTGTTGTTGTTCGTCGTATTTGTATATCTCCATTTTCTGTTCGTGATGTTGTTGAAAGGAGTGAAGAAACTGCCAAAGAAACGGATTGGTGCACGAAGCCTATCCACTCCCACATTGGTTTGGTACAAGAGGCAACTGCATATTCAAACCATCACCAGTTAATGTACATGACGTAACCTGTCAATATACATATTTCCTTTATTATTTAACATATTGACTGATGATAATATTGTGTCTTTGACTAATTCAGGCAACATATATTTATACATTTTCATAATTGGCCATCCAATTACACGCATTTACATTCATTTGCAATTCTATATAAAATTACGTTTTAATTCAAGTTTAATTAATTTAAATGCAACAAAGTAGAAATAACATCATACATCACTTTATATACAAGCACAACTAGCTATTACAAGTCCAGGCCGGGGGGTTTATTTTAACAAATGTATTATTTTGATAAAATAAAATAATTAATGTACCGTTATTTTGATCTACACTTCTTACATTGTCGTGTCAGTCAGCATATTTGTCATTGTACATCTTACGTAATTAGGGTATACAGTAGTTAGAATATATACATTAGCAAATATTAGAATCATTTGGGGAGAACCCGGAAACGGTAGATGAAAAAATTGTTATAATGTCACTAAATAATGTATAATGAAAGGAGGTAATATCATAGTCTCCCTTGTTGCAAAATGGCGAGGGAATCTATTTGGGATCTATTAAAAAGATTAAATATTATTGTCCTTCTCTATAGCTTTGTCATAAATGTTCCTTGTATTCAAGACTTCAAGTATTCAACTTGAATTAATTCTGGATATTTTTTTACAAAGTAGTTAAAAGAGCGCCATCTTGTTTGTTTGATGTTTCATTGACATTTTACTCTTTTCAATCAAATGAATCGCATCACGGTTTACATGGGTTACGAATAGGCTTATTTACAAAAAGTGCTTTATCATTGAAGGTAAACGCTTATTTACAATTTGAACGAATCTAACTCATTGACGTCACTAGTCTCAAAGTATCATCCCTGATCACATTAAGTGCTCGCTAAGTTGAACAACGCATATCGCTTTGTTGGCTCGATTTATTTGTTTGTGGCTAGTTTTGGTAATTTTGGGTCGGTTTGTGACATTTAGGTCGTTTTGGCTCGTTCTATGATATATTAATGGCTGTACTGTAACACTTCACTCTCAGGTCAAACCCTTAATCTCGCTCAAAATAGCATAATCCTATTTTCTCTAATCCCCATTCCCTATTGGCTGTGAACACTTTTCCAATTGATTTTGGTAGCTGTTTTGTGGATGTTTCTTGCTGAGACATGTTCGCTGTAACCGCACAAAAAAGTTGTTTTCACAGATTGGTTGAACTGCACCTATAAATAACATTGCGTTCGTGTACGTATCTCTTTTTTCTATCATACGGTGATCAGGTCCACATTGCAACGCTGACTGAGATAAGAGTTGCTACTACTAAAATATTCAAAACTTGTACACATAAATGTGTCTTCAAAGTGATTTGACTGAGAGAAGATTACACAATAAAATATTTGTGAATCTCACTCGGTGTCACAATAGTAATATCACGTGACTAAATACGACATGACGTAAAAGTGCGAACAGCCTTGAGTGCGATGCGGATCTATTGTTGAGAACACTGTTATTTCAGTTCACCTTTACAATTTATTTGAATTATTGTTCATGAGTCGTAAATTTGTTTAGGTTAATTTAGAAAACCATGAGCTGTTTCTTTGTCGTAATTGTAATATTCTGAAGCTTCGTATTTTTATTATAGAAATCTTAAATTGCACGTGAATGAAATTCCAGGGTCTACTGCTAATACATGTGAACTTCACAGACAGGCAAAGAACAACCGTCTATTATTTTTATTTTAAGTATTTAAAATACATTTAGTTTTACAGACCGTGTGTCGTGCTATGCTATGCTATGCTGTAGTCTGACATCGTCACTATACTCAAATATGCAAAGCACAACACACCGGATCAGTAAAAATAACACAAACAAAATGTGTGGGTTGACAAACTAAACCACACAAACCTTAAAAATGACTTAAAATGATAAAACATACTCGATCGTTAGCTGACAGGCCTTTACAGTAGATAACGTGCTCGATTTTTCTCGGACAGGCTAGAAATTACATCTGTTCCAGCCACCAAGACGTCTTACTTAAGCTTCTTCTGGAGGCTTGACATTTAAATTTTATTGTTCCTTTTCTGAGTACAGTCTTCTACACAAACACTGTGCAACAATGTATCTGTCTTATGTCAACATATACCACACATACAAGAAATTGTGCACATCAATTACGTAGAGGAACAATCTCAAACTCGCTACTTGAAAAATTAAAAAAAAATATAGAGCACAACATTTTCTAACAATTTTTAAATCTGTTAAATATGTAAATGTATGCTAATACATATGAACTTCACAGACAGGCAAAGAACAACCGTCTATTATTTTTATTTTAAGTATTTAAAATACATTTAGTTTTACAGACCGTGTGTCGTGCTATGCTATGCTGTAGTCTGACATCGTCACTATACTCAAATATGCAAAGCACAACACACCGGATCAGTAAAAATAACACAAACAAAATGTGTGGGTTGACAAACTAAACCACACAAACCTTAAAAATGACTTAAAATGATAAAACATACTCGATCGTTAGCTGACAGGCCTTTACAGTAGATAACGTGCTCGATTTTTCTCGGACAGGCTAGAAATTACATCTGTTCCAGCCACCAAGACGTCTTACTTAAGCTTCTTCTGGAGGCTTGACATTTAAATTTTATTGTTCCTTTTCTGAGTACAGTCTTCTACACAAACACTGTGCAACAGTGTATCTGTCTTATGTCAACATATACCACACATACAAGAAATTGTGCACATCAATTACGTAGAGGAACAATCTCAAACTCGCTACTTGAAAAATTAAAAAAAAATATAGAGCACAACATTTTCTAACAATTTTTAAATCTGTTAAATATGTAAATTTATTGTTGAAATTGTTTTTATTGAATAGTTTTGTAACTAATATTAGGCACATTTGTCTGTTTATTATGTATATAGAGCACCGAATGCCCCCCGTCTTAGTTACTGAGGGGTGAATGACAAACACAAAATGAATGAACGTGGGACACTTGTTCTACGTATTAATTAAAATATAATTAAAATATCATAGCAATCAGACTATCCGATATCAGTCATTTATAGTGAAATTTGATGAGTTACGAGAAGCAAGACTGACGCCAATGACGAACAATCAACTATATGAATAGTTTCATGACAGCGTAGCTGATTAAAATATGACAGTGACACATTGCATATATTTCAATACACAAAACTATAAATCATTATGTAGTGCCTGTCCATTTATCTATCAGAATACGAGTATCGTGACATCAAGGTATGTCTTTTTCAATTTGCCTGCATCATTTTCATTAGTGTTATATTATTAATTGTTTTACCTGTATAAACACAATTTTGATGTGTTTCAGATGCTGTTGGTTCCATTAATACCATATCTGAGTATATTTTGTAATGCTAACCTTATGATTTGCTGTCTGGATAACACTAGGTAATTGTTAAGTATTGAAAAGTATCATATAATGTGTTCAATGCGATTTGTCTCATAGTACAGACATGGGTAACATTTTATCTGATATACGCCCCCAACATTCCCAAATTAGTTTCACATTTAGAAATGAAAAGCACTTAAAAAAGTACATAATCGCAAAAAAATTGTATAGTCACATATCAGCGATCAGCAACACAAAGCTGCTTTGTATTGGAGGCAAATATTGACTATATTATTAGAACACAACTTTGTAGGATATGAATGAATAAATAAATAAATAAATAAAAATAAAATGAACGAGATCTAATTATTGATATGAATTAATTTGCATTTCCACGAAAACGCCCATACAAACAACCACTGACAAAGAAATAACTTCCTGAAAAGCTAACCTTTTTAATCAAACTCTATTTTTCCAACTTAATTCCATAATAGAGCATTTCTTAATTTTGCGCACTCATATATATTAAACGTCAGTTTCACTGTAATTTCCCTAAAGGCTGACTACATCTACAGATAGATTGTAACAATTGTGTTGATATATTTTAGGTATGATGCTGTGTTTCTGTTATGAAATTTTATTCCTCACATCAAATTGGTTGTTTCACTTGAAGAGGCCAAACCCTTATTAAATAATGCTAACCGAGTCATCATGCATAACAAATAATTCCGTAGACTTATGGCAACTACAGAGTGACAACTCAAAATAATCATGGAAGCGTCCGAGGATGAACAAGAATCAATTGTTAAAAGTAATATAAACAACTGTGAATACAACACTCCTAATGGATACGTTATTAAGTGTCTCAGCGTCTTTTGGATATTTTCCTAGATGAATAC